AATAATCGCAAAGGTAAAAAAATAATTGCAAAGTTGGTAGTAATTCTGTGAGAAAAGGCACTCATGGCCACTAGACAACCATTCAACAATCTGTTTACAAAGGTGTACTGTTTTTAGCCAACTCAGTTCATGCCAAAAAGCTCACCCTCCCTGAGGGAGCTATCCCCCAGGCCAATTGGCGTGTTGTGTTGAAAAAATGACTGTACTTATGGCAAAATGAACCCACAATTTCTGACTTCTGATTGACCAATAAATAACAGTTAAAATGCACCAGAATGCAGTATTATACATACAGTTTTAAAAAATTTTTCACACCGTGGGAGGGGGACAGCCCCTCCCACACACACACCCCTCGGGGGCTTCGCCCCCTCGTGTCCGCTTACTGCCCCCCTGGCATTTTGCTCAGGCTACGGCCCTGCAGTAGACGCTTCCACTACTATTTAGGCCTACAGACACCACTTGAAACTGGTCCTACAGTCAAAACTTTTGACTTCAATTTTTTTACATAATGGCAAAGATGTTAACTGATGTTGCAGAGACCACTACAAACTATTTAAAGGCAGAGCCCGTATATAACAAAATAAAGCTAGTTGAGTGGTTGCTTTCAAGAATCCAACGTTATACTTTTATGTTGGAATGAAATTATAAATTTCGTAAATGGAAAACACTGTTTCTCTATCTCTCCATTGCGCCAATACAATTTTAAAGCTGCAGGCGGCTGGCGTGAACACACGAGTTGTTTTCAATACTTGTTCAGTAAATAACTCTACTACAAATAAGTTAAAGTGGAGCTTCTATAGTAAATAGCTGTGGAACATAATATTGGAGGGGATGTATGTTCTTTATTTGACTAAATGGTATAAAATATGGATATCTTCACCTGTGTTATGGTTTTTCTGTTCCCTAAGATATGTAAGATATGGCATCTGGAATGGATAGCACTATTTAAAACAATATACATGTACAGCATGGGATCATTTGGTAACAGAAATACGTGGAATTGAAGGTGGGACAGTTCCTGACCAACAGTATATATGGAAGTAATACCATATCTTACGGCATATGGTGAGGTAACGATTTGGTTGCTAGGCTACACATCAGATGACTCCGTCATTTCAGATAATCCGGGATTCCATCAAATGTCATACCAGATAATCTGGGATTCATATTCTAATTCCTGACACTTTGACGGCGGCTTCTTATAATATCTCGATAAAGAATGTCGTAATTAAGTCTGTCTGGGACTATGAGAAGACGCGTTTCCTCCTGTTTGACATTAATTATAAATTAAACGTAGAATATACAAGATACAATGAAGGAAGAATCTATCAAATGGTTGACATGAATAATGATAATTTAATATACTTATGTTACACCGCAGACCTCCAGCAATAGCAATATGTCCGGACACCTTGGTCACCTATCACTGAAGTGACCGAGATATCCTTTCGTGACCCCAAGATTTTCAATTTCCTGTTTGAGGCAACCGCGTGTTCTTATAATAGATAAATTTGGAGGACACAACACCGAAATAAAACCATCTAATTTGTATACTGTGGTAACCTTCAGGGAAGTATTTTCTAATAAGCATAATATAGTACTGTATTATAAAAACGTTTTCTACTAACATGTTGGAGGATGTGAGACGCGGAGCTTTTTCTCCAGTCCACTGACCCAAAAATGTGTTTCAAACTCGTTAACCAGGAATAAAGGTGCTGTTTTACGAGAAAATCGCTCCATTTACTCCGGTTATAGCTGTGACAGAGTGGAGATGACTCACTTTCAAAACCAATTAGCAGTATTTACAAATAAACCGCAATCTTTTATATCCACTGAATAATTGTATAATGGCAAGGAAAATGACTAGTTTGCCAAAAAAAAAAAAGACCCTAGATTGCATTGTAATGAGATTCTAGCCCCAGACGAGGAAATGGACGATCTTGGGAGTTCTCGCATCTGTAACATAACCCCCAGCCACTTAAGTCACGTGCTAAAGTTAGTCTGTGGAAGATGCTAGTAACGATAGTTGAACAGGAGATTAATATACATGTAGCGTCACGATCAGTCATGAAATGTATGCATTCTTTCTCATTACAAATACAGCCAGGGAAGATAAACGTCCAATAATTATCATTATTATTTGAAAGATCCGGGTACCCCACAATTCGGCTGTTAGGAACCAAAGTGAGGCCCTCATTTGTTTTCTGAACTTATCGGCGTCAACTTCGGTCTGCTAGGCGTTTTATCTCGTGACCAAGGGATATTTACCTTGATAACCAGTCGTCTATTAAAAATGTGAGTCATCAAGGGAAGCTTTACTTTCCCTCCAGATTTGACCTCTGACCTGTGACAGGAGGAGCTCAGATATCGCAGAGTTTCGGCAGTTGACAGACGTCCGATACCACCGCAGAGGAGAGACGCAGAGTGTAGGAAGAGAAAAACAGAGATACATACAGACAGTTAACCGGAGTTAAGGGAATTAATGCCAAGTCTCCAAAATCTTTTCTTGACTGTATGATTTATTTATATTTACCAACAAAGGTGAGTTTGAAAATATCTAGTTTTAGGATGTTTTTAACTGTATACACGAAAAATATTCTGTAATTTTTTCTATCCGTTTCAAGAACAAAATAATATAAATAATATAAATAATATAAATAATGCCTGCAATTTTAAAAAGGCGTAAGTATCAATGTTAAGATGTAATGTTGAAAACTCTCTCACTTTATTATCGTATAAACAATAATTGTCAGGGTCTCCTTTCGCTGAACCTAGTGGTGCATGTACATATCTCGGCTGCCGTATGGCACACCACAATATTACATTTATATTGTATCTTGTGGGGTCAATACTAACGAACCTTGTACATTTTTCGACAAAGCCCCTCTTTCTTAAAAGATGTAAGTTTAAAAAGGAAGGTACAAACACAGGCATTTGCTAGCTTAGATATTTATTTTATAAGCAATTAAAATCTACCGTTTGTTAGCCAGTGTAAGAGAGATATTCTTCCACTGACAGCTGAAGAACTCCTGTCTAAATCTTAGTTTATCGTCTATCTTCAGATGAACCCGATGTCAGTCTGCAGCGTCTGCCTCTTGTCTCTGGTGGTGACGATATCGTCCAGTAAGTAGCAAAAGCTTAAGCTAAATCTTCAAATCTGCCGACACAAAGACTCTCTACGTATCATTTTTTTTTTTTCAAATTTATACGGCAACAATTTTTTTTTTTTTTTTTGTATCGCTTACCGAAAATTCCCATATCATTTTTCTCTGCCGGAGGGACGGCATGCATAAATGTCGGGGGTCTATATGATATTAATCGTTTTGCTCTCCACCCATTCCTACACAGGTTGTACGCCTGAAGTCATCAGTTTAAAAGTTGTTGGATTTTCTCCCTTATTTGACCCTACTTGATAAATTTCGAAAAAAGGCCCGAAATGTCCTGAATCAAATTTTAGTTTAGAGAGCACCTTTTCCTAACCAAAGCACAGTTCTTTGGAAAACCTCCCGTGTGCGGACATGCATTTAGTATGTTGAGTTTGCAAACACTGTGCATGTGCACTGAGGGTGTTTTCAGTGATACAGTTCTCATTCGGCCACCATGTACGTCTGTCTCTTCATTTCAACAATGGTACCAACGCCGCCATTTTGCTCTGAAGCCATCCCTGTAGAAGCATAGAAACATATAGTTTTCGCATGATGAAGACTAATACTATGTATAGTCCAAAGTCATCAGTTACCATAAAACAACGGAGTATATTCGGTCGGCTTCGTATCCGCGCACCCCCCCCCCCCCCCCTTTCAACTAAACTTGGATCCGCCCCTGCATGAGGTGTTCCAAGGCCTAAATCACCCATGTGTCCAGATACTGGTATTCTAAAATTGTATATTTTTCAGCAACGAATCAAGTAGACGAACTGGTATTATATAGTAGGCCCACAGTCGAAATGCAACAGTATAATGAGCATCTTTGATTTGTCATTTTATTAATTTCGTTGGATTTTTTCCTTGTTCTACCAGTCTCTTCGGTAGATTGGTAGAATATTGTTCGACAAAATTAACAAATATTTTCCTCTCAAAAGAATATTTTACCAGAACGCAAAACCTGTGTATGCAGACAGCATTACTATATTGTGACCGTATACGTATATATATATACTGGTATATATGTACCTGTACATGTCATGAACTGCCGCTTTATGACACACGGGGACTGGTGAGCCTCTGTCACATGGTCGTCCAGGGTAGTCACGTTATCTTTTAAACCTTTTACTGGGTTCAGTTCACCATGACGTCACGCAGCCTCCCTGGTGTACTGACCTTGTAAAGGGTCAGTCGGCAAATAACGGTACTTAACCTAGAGGCCGGCCGTTCAAGGCGGTAGTTAAGACTGCCCTTCATGTCCATCAGGGTGGTTTCTGTAGTTACCAAGGGTAATTGTCTGCGACATGCAACGCAAATAACTGAAATACATGATTTTTTTTATTAGATAAACTTTCCTCTAATTTAGCCTGTGTACAACTGTCGTCGGTATCAAGTTTAAGTTTGCACAAAATATGATTTTCTAGCGAAATGAAAGTGAACCAAGATCTTGTACATTATGTGAGTGAGCTGTTTTCATGGTTGCTCTCGGCAAAGAGATGAAAGTCTTTGAACGAATACTTCAGTGTTTTAAACGTTGATGTAGTTGCACTAATGAAGTGGACGCAAGCCATGTCAGCATACCGGTATAAATAGATTAATGTATAATGTTGGACGCACACTGTACATGTATTATAAATCTTGGAACAGTCCTCTTATTAAACTGAGCTACCTGTATGTACTAAGTCACATGTTATTGCCATTATGAATAATTCACACTATGTTTTTATCATTTCAGCATGGTTGATGGGTGTGGAAGGCCAGTCCTCTTGGTACTCTAACCCAAACTTCATCCAGAGCGGGAATTCCGGAGTCGTGCTGAAAGAACGACAACCTGCCTCAGCCATCAGCTCACAGAACGCAGCCATGTATGTACCTCAGCAACGGTACAGCAGCGCCACCTTCAGTGGGTTTCCTATACCTGACCGCTACCACTTTCTTGGCAACCCATCTCCTGGTGTCGTTAACATTCTCTTGGACTACCGCGGACCGCCACCTAGCGTCGTGGTGGTCGACCCTCAGCGCTCTCTATCGACTGGTTGGTCAGGTCCCAAGGATAATGGCTATAGGTACGGGATCCCACCACATTTGCCGTCTAGGGTTCCGTTCGGATACTTCTCACGCATGCCGCCAGTACAGATCATTAGACCATATTACGACTTCTACAATGATCGACCGGCTGTAGTCCTCAAGAGTCCCACCAGATCAGCAGTCACTTACTGATGTGCTGCCATCTAGCGTTTAGTTATGGGTGACATATTGAGTATGATGCTTTTAGTAAGGGTCGTTCACAGTATATAGGCCTACCGGTATTGATTGAAGCATCAGTGTTGCAAATCGAAGGCTTATTCATAGTTGATATTTGAAATGATGTTATTTATTTCGTAATCGATTAAGGACAATGAAATGGGCTGAAAGATTTGTCATGGTAAAAACTGAGCAGACGAACATGCTACTTCGATCATACTTCCTTTGTCTTGTTCATGTCCGTCTTTCATTTCGTGAGATGTTTCGTTGCGATAACTGTGAAAATGTTAGTGTACCATAACTACGTACATTATAACTACTTTACATTCATTTTCCTTTTTGATTTATGTCAATTTAAAGAGAAGACTTGAGAAATAAAAAAAAATACTTCAGATAACGTAAGTGAGATAACGCCCACTTCATTTCGTGTGTATCGACAGCAAATTATGTTATTTTATCTGAAAGTAGATCTACCAGACTAATTTTGTTTTCACTTCACGTAAGACTGTTCCAAATTAATGACCTATCATAAAGAATCTGTCTGCGATCTCAGATAGAAACGACAAAGAATGCAGAAAATGTGCTCAATTTGCATAATGTTAGACCTACAGATAGTTTAGAATATATATCACATACTTTCATCGGAAAATGAATTTTTCCATTAAACCTTTTTAATTCGTTATTCTATATCTATCGTTTCGCCGGTCTGGCAATGGGCCGCAGTTTAGTCACATGTTCTATTTGTCGGTTAAAAAGGTTTTTTTTTTGTAATGATAAATTGGTGCAGAGCGCGGAACTGAAAGGTTGTGGTCATGTTTAATAAATCGTTGCTTTTTAAACGATGTCAGTTTACTAATGTGGATTATTTAAGGGGAGATATGAATATCATGATTCAGTAGAGTATAATGGTGATTGCTGTGCACATTTATTAAATCTGAGTAAAGTACAATGTCTTGTACATACATGGTTTCTACATGCGGTCTTCTTGAACGTTGAAATAAATTATTACTATTGTTTCATAAAGCATATTGATAAATGTCGTTTTTTTATCATGCATCATATTTGGAAGATATGCCTAATTAACAGCAGTCGTTTAGATAACTTTATATTTTAAATAAATCTACATTTATGTACACGGAGCAAAAGAGAGTAGGGAAGAGAAGAGATAGAGGGAAGAAAGAGAATTCAGCAAATCAGTAATGAATTCATGTATATGTAGTCGACATTTAGCTGAGTAGGAAAATCGTATATCTGATTCTCGATACTAGTGCTAAAGATAATCGCATGCGTTGTTATGTAATTAAAATTTCATTATCTATATAAATTACGACTTTCGTCTCACGCTATGACGATCTCAGATAAGTTTATCTGAAGATTTCGTTTAAGGGTTTTGTAACCCTTTATTATCATCCATATACTGAAAACGAGGTTTATTCCTGCACCTAATACAGTAATTATTCAATAATTATGTATCTATCCACGTGCTGATTTAAAAGACTAATAAAACCTTAAAAATATAAAACATCGGCGATTTGCGATTTAAAAGTATATGTAGCTCTAAGCTTTAATCGCCAATTTAACACCTTTCTATTTTAAGGAAAGATAGCAATGGGTACGGGGCGTAACTTCACCCCTGAACAAGATTTTATCACGAAAATTGTCAGAGTTGGCCATAAATGTATGGGCTACGATTCCATTCCGTCATTTGGTTTAAATGTTTTGTAATGGAGTTATGAGATACATAATTACAGATTTTTTATTAAACATAGACGTTATTTTACTTTATCAATGATAAAATCTGAACTTATTCTTAAAAAAATGCTGGCAGGAATTTGGAGTACTAAATGGTTTCATTAAAGCGGCGTTGAAACGGTGATCGTGGGTGCTCGGGTAAAGGCGAAATATATAAGATAAACCGATTTTTTAGTTTTAACCCAAAAAAATCGCAATTATGACGTCACTTGTAAGATGACATATGTGTAAATGTTAATTAATTTAGTCAATGAACACTGAAGATTTCTCTATTACCCAAAATAATGTATGTAAGGCAGTAAATAAGGAGTGTTGCCCAAAGGGTGAAAATATCCTTAAAAGTTAATAGAGAGTTTTGGCAAGGCCTTCCGTACGACGTATAACGTGCGACGTCATCACTTTGTGCGTAGTTTTTCTCAAGGACAAGTCATAAGTCATACGGCACTACGTATGAATCGGTGATTACACGTAGGTAAGAAACATATCGAATTTAATAGATTTACGCTTATTTCTTTCAAGTTTAACATACTGCAGAGGAATATATAGGGTGTTAAGATTCCACTGAATCACTTTTAGACGCTGTCGGTAGAAATACTCTGTGAAAACAGCTGGAAAAACAGCCAGTCAATCAGTCGTCCGTAGTAGTATCAAATTCAATTTAAGT